GACAGCATTGAAGAATACTGCAAAAAGTCAGCAGAGAAAATATATAAGGAAAGCAATCAAACTCCCGCACTTGAGCAAATACTTGAAGATCACGGAATATTTATAAGTAGAATTTAGTTAGCATTTCTCAGATTTCAGGTCCCAAGAGCAGGCATTTGCTATTTTTCAAGGGCCTTATGCTTGTGACTCAGAAAGTCCTCCAATACAGAGCTCCAGCTCCAGCTGTTAGAGTTTATTGACTTCAAGTGAGTATAGAGACAAAGGTTTGAATGAAGTACGGCTGGTTTCTGTTAAAGGCTGCTATTATGAGCTATACAGTTTTTATGCAGTTCTACCATTGCCACTGCTGAACCTCTCCCTACAGAAAAAGGATGGAATCTTTTCCACTGTGAATATACATTAAGAAGTTTAAATTCTGATTGCTGTTTACCAGCGCCCACTTTCACCCAAACTCTTTGTCCTGCATAAACCTTATTCAAGTATTGGCCAAGTAATGATGGTCCCTACTGTAACTCAACAGGCGTAGCCGTGGTGCACCAGTTCCACATAAAGGTGACAGGCTTCTGCCACTGTTGGCCAAATATCCTACACTTTATGTGACAAAACACAACCCAAACTTGAGGAATCAGTGTTTTAAAGATCTTTGCTGATGGAGCAGAGGAGCCTATGCAATGCTCATCCACCATTTACTGAAATCAGTGCCACTGCCCCCAGCAGGAGCGGGGATGTGCCAGCTCGTGCTGGTACAGCAATAAACCAGGGGATGTGAGTATTACAAAGACAACAAAGATTAGCTATTTCAACTTATTCCTACCATTTTACATACAGTAAGGTATTATTTGCTATGTAGAGGGTAATTCCCCTAAAGGACACCACGATTAAGTGGCAAATTAATTTGCTGCTTACATTCACTAGCTCTTCCAGCTGGCTTAATTCTCATCAGCCACCATAATTTATTAACAGTGAGGTGAGAAAAGACATGAATCAGCTTAATGTGTTATAAGTAGGGCATTGTCATGGCAACAAGATGCGACTGTTTTCTACTATTTATGTATGGTTTGTTTTGTACTCAACCTTAAGATACCGCTTGAAACAACTAGAATTAGAAACATCTTTTTTTTCAACTTTTTTTTTTTCACGTCAGTGTATTTTTAAAAAATAAATGATCAAAATAAGCATGTGAAAAGCTCTGAAGCATCTCTCCAGGAATATAGCCAGCTATATGCTCTTTGGTGAGTCTTCCTAGAAACAGAAGCCTTAACTCTGATCTCCCAACCATTTTCTCACATTGTCTACACGCAATTCCATGGATTAACTCCCAGTTTATACCAGTCTGAGATCAAATCCAGACCTTCCCATTTCTGTGCTCTATATATGAATATTAACTGGGGGGGGGAGGGAAGGGAGCAAGAGGGGGAATTAAAAAGTATTATTGAAAAAAGAAAAAAAGAAAAAGGCTTTTTTTAAAAAATGCAATATGTTGTGTTTTACACAAGACATGGAAAAACAATTAAGGATGTTGCATTTTTATAGACTCGGGGAAGTATAAACTTAAAAATTAAAAATTAATTGTAAAGGATTTTTATTGCCTTCCTGGCTAAGCCTAAATCCCATGCACCTTTTGCATCAGCAATTAATGGTTTTCATAAAACCAGCTCTTCATTCAAAGGTCATTTTATTTACTACCCTGCTGCATAAAGGGAATGGCTGGAATGCTAACACAGCCATCTGAAAAACAATTACCAATATTACTGGTTTGATTTCTTTGCTTTTTTCCACCACCTCAGGGATCTGATATTAAACAGTTAATGAAAATCAAGATATCCTTAAGATGTATCAGGAAGAACAGATGGAAAAATGAAATCCCTTTCATGAAAAATTTTGCAAGCCTAAAACATTGCTTTGTTCTGTGTAAGGACAAAAAAAAAAACAAAAAAAACAAAAAAGAAATTTGAAAAATTCAAAGACTTATTCCCCTTTTCTCCATCCAGTACTCGATAATTTTTTTTTAATATGTCTGGGTTTATATTACCCTAGGTATTTGTTTGCATAATATGTAGGGCAACAGGCAACTGGGCTGTACCATAACATAAACCAAAACTGTTCTTATTTAGCAACTTGAAAAAAAAATAATAAACAGTATAATTCTGAACTCAAAACTTCTGTCAAGCTACAATTGCAAACGTTCAATTGAGCACTACTAAATGATACCTGCTGAGGTTAACCGCTGAGGTTAATTAAGAAATGAAAGATCTGGACAGCCTTACCTAAAGGTTCAATGGATTCGTTCAGTCAATGTTGCTAATGGCGCCTAATACACAAGAGTTGATAGCTGTTAATTAAAAACGCTTACAGAGGCCAAGTCAGGGGAATGCCAGCCTTGGGTTGAACCATTTTTTACCCCATGTCAAGTTCAGTGAGAAGTGGTTCTGAGCTGCAAAGGTTGGCTGGGGGCCTGGGTGTAATATGGCACGTTAACAGGCAGGTACACCAAAACAAGGGGGGGCAGCGTGAAGGGAGGTGTGTTAAACTGCTCTTCCACTCGCTAAATACCAGCCCCCCCCGGCGCAAGCCGTACTGGTTAGGGACACAAGGCAAAAGACAAAGTCATCCCCCAAACCCTGGGGTTAAGGAGGGGACAGGGTACAGGATTGTCACTACCCTTGCATGGCTGGTGGCACTGTGCTTGGCACAACGTGTACCTTCAGGGATGGCCACTCAGAAGCATCCTGGGCACTCCCTCCATCGGCTGAAGGCATTTTTCAATGAGCCTCAGCTGTATGATGGACCAGGAAGATGCTCAGAGGGCTGGAGCTATGCTCTGCTATGAAGACAGGCTGAAAGAGTTGGGGTTGTTCAGCCTGAGAGAAGAGAAGGCTCTGAGAAGACCTTAGAGCCTCTTCCAGTCCCTAAAGGGGCTACAGGAGAGATGGGGAGGGACTTTTGATCAGGGAGTGGAGCGATAGGATGAGAGGTAATGGTTTTAAACTGAAAGAGGGGAGATTTAGATTAGATATTAGGAAGAAATGCTTTCCTGTGAGGGTGGTGAGACACTGGAACAGGTTGCCCAGAGAAGCTGTGGCTGCCCCACCCCTGGAGGGGTTCAAGGCCAGGCTGGATGGGGCTTGGAGCAACCTGGTCTGGTGGGAGGTGTCCCTGCCCATGGCAGGGGGGTTGGAACTGGATGATCTTTAAGGTCCCTTCCAACTCTAACCATTCTATGATTCTGTGGTGGAACAAGTGTTACAGGGTCAAACCAGCATAATCCTGATGCCATGCCTGCCCTTGGCTAACGCGTCACTCGGTGCCATTGGTGGTAGATTTTGCCTCATAGACATTTATCCCATGGGAAGTAGTTTGTGCCTGGCACACTTCATAAAAGCTATGAAATCACTGAGAAACAGCTGTGACTTTCCCTGACCACTGGTCCGGGCAGCAGAGCCAGCCCCGTGAGCCACTCTGTCCCTCACAACTAGCACCTTTCAGCAATGTGGAACCAGCTGTCACAGATACCCAGCTGCTTACACAACATGGTCCAGTCCTTCCCTGGATACTTTTTCATTGCTCGAGCTCTTCAAGGTTGCCATTTCTAATGGACAGATTACATTTCAGCTGTCTTCTCCTTGCAAAGAAGGTGATTATAGTTGACTTGGAAAGGAAATGGTATTTTCAAAACTGGCTTGTGGTCTTTTTTCCATCCTTATAGGTAAGAAGACATATCATTTCCCCCTCCCCAATTTTTTTGACTGCTCAGAGCCACGGGGCATATCCACCATGTTGGTGAGATCCTGATTGAGTGGGTGGGAATTGTTCACCCTTTACACAAGACTTCCTTCAATCACACAGCGAATGCTTTTTTGATGTTAGAGGATTGTTAACACCCCAAAGATTCTTCCCCCACCCCGCCCAGTGTTAAAATCTATGGGCATTGTGTCCCTGGTTGCTGCAGGCCCAGGGCTACTGAAGGTAGCTGGTGTGACTCCTTTTTGTGCCCATCCTGACTACAGGTAAGTGCATTGAATGAGACAGGATTAAAACAAAACCAACCAAATCCCTGCCCTTCTGCAATTACCTGATGCTTTCCTCACACTGAAAACAGAGGATACACAGCCTCACCCTTCCCAGAGGTAGCCTCCTCTCTTAAAAATGAATAAACATTTTCATATCAAACCCTTCTTTGTAGTTTTCACCTTATGCCTGTAGGAATAAGTAACAGCGTATTACTTATCTGTAGCTTGACCCTAAATCAATCTTTTCACCTCCCTGTGACTCTTGTTACTGAAAGGCACTGATGCAAGAGTCCACCACGGAAACAAGACTTTGGAAAATGCTTCATCATTTGCCTTAGCTTTGTGTGATTTAAAACTGAATTTCCACCCTAATGACAAGTATCAATGGTATCACACATCTCTGCCCAGTCCTGACAACAGAGAAGAGAGAAAAAAAACAGGACACAGCTTATGGTTCCCAAGCTGAGGGGAGGGAGAAGAAGGTACCTGGGCTTACATTGCTTCTGTTATCAGTGATCTGACATTTAAATAAAACCCTGGGAAACATTTGCAAAAAGGAACCACACATCCAAGTCCCATAGATAGCAAATAATTAGGCAGTAGCCTCCTCCTGAATGAGCTGTAGCAGCCCTTGCCTCAGGGGAAGGGCTTCACCAAGAGGCCTGGAAGGACAAGTCCTTTATCCCCAGAGGAATAAAGTCCTTTTATCCCCAGGGCATTCTGAGCTCCTCACCTTCCTGCAACATCAGAATTTCAGTCAGGAAATACTGCATTTGTTGGTAAAGACTCATTTCAGGAGATTACTTTGAATTATTAACCCTGCTGTATGGAGCCAGAGGAGATCCTTGCTCACCTCGAGAAGTTCTCACCTTCCTGCAACATCAGAATTTCAGTCAAGAAATACTGCTTTTGTTGGTAAAGACTCATTTCGGGAGATTACTTTGAAATTATTAACCCTGCTGTATGGAGACAGAGGAGATCCTTGCTCACCTTGAGAAGTTTGGCCTTCAAATGGAGGCTGTGAAGACCATGGAGAAGAGCCAGCTCTTCATCAGCTGGAAGGAATGTCTTTGATTTTGCTTTCAGCTAATGATGCTCAATGTAGGACCAGACAACTGAAAAATAATTAAAATATAGAAGATGACGAATACATCTTTTCCCATGGCATTTATTCTGTACAATTTAAAAGACAACAAATCAGTAAAAGCACACACTATTTTGCATAACATTTTGCAAAATTCTGCAAGAGATTTAGAGTGGAGAGCACAACTGCTGGGTATTGAATGACTTCGTAAGTAAGACTTTTAAGAGATCTCAAAGGACTGCCACCGACGGCTGATGCAAAGAAAACCCTAGGAGGGTTTGCAGAAGTTGCTGTTAACCACAGTGCTTTGCCACAAAAACATTGTCTGCTGTAGTGAAGAAACGCTCTTCCTGGTAGCGTTACACAGAATTGTTAACTGTATTTGCAGAGGAAATGTGTTTTACCCCATTGAAACCTCTTCTAACCCCATGTTAGAAGCAGCATTGCTCAGAAGGCCAGCCATTGCTCTAAGACCCATGGCATGAGAAACACGACCTTGAGGTTCATTCCTATAGAGAGGAGCACGTATCTCAGACTTGGGGTTGAGTTTCCCAGTACCCACCCAGATACCTCTTCACACCAAGATAAATTTACTGATTAAAATAAGGCAACACTCACGGCTGACAGGGAAGATGAGTAATTTTGTTAAGTTTACACGAAAATGAAGATTGATTTAGGCAATATTATTAGAGTTCCCTAAAATAGATATAAAACTTTATGTGCTAATAGTACTTTTCACAATACAGCAAGGACAGGTAAGACCTGAGGTGGCTTGCAATGCTGGCACCACTCTGTGCCCATTACCTCAGGGACTGATAAAGATCTGGAGAAGACTGCGTTCAGCTGAGTCGCTTTCTTAGCTTACCTCTTAATGCCTTCTGAGATAATCATCAGGGAGAGAAGAGCAGAAAAGCCTATTTCCCACCCTATACAATGTCTCCAGCCTTGAAAAGCACCTCTGTTCTCCAGCGCACCCAATCCCAGCCCCTGGCCAAGAGAGGGAATAAAATCAGGGCTGGAGGAGAAAGGGCAGTAGTTTTTCGGAGAGCGTCCAGCCACCAGTGAGACCAACCCGTCAGAGCTCTGCCCCGACTCCTTCCTCACCCCAGTCGACGTATCTCAGACTTGGGGTTGAGTTTCCCAGTACCCACCCAGATACCTCTTCACACCAAGATAAATTTACTGATTAAAATAAGGCAACACTCACGGCTGACAGGGAAGATGAGTAATTTTGTTAAGTTTACACGAAAATGAAGATTGATTTAGGCAATATTATTAGAGTTCCCTAAAATAGATATAAAACTTTATGTGCTAATAGTACTTTTCACAATACAGCAAGGACAGGTAAGACCTGAGGTGGCTTGCAATGCTGGCACCACTCTGTGCCCATTACCTCAGGGACTGATAAAGATCTGGAGAAGACTGCGTTCAGCTGAGTCGCTTTCTTAGCTTACCTCTTAATGCCTTCTGAGATAATCATCAGGGAGAGAAGAGCAGAAAAGCCTATTTCCCACCCTATACAATGTCTCCAGCCTTGAAAAGCACCTCTGTTCTCCAGTGCACCCAACCCCGGCCCCTGGCCAAGAGAGGGAATAAAATCAGGGCTGGAGGAGAAAGGGCAGTAGTTTTTCGGAGAGCGTCCAGCCGCCAGTGAGACCAACCCGTCAGAGCTCTGTCCCCACTCCTTCCTCACCCGAGTCAGACTTGAACAACCCCCTGTGTCTCCATCCACCATATCCTTGCTCAGGCCACCACCGGGACCCCTCCATATGGAGAAAAATGCCAGGAGAGCCACTCATTCCCTGCTTTGGGGAAGGTGGCACCTGGGGAAGGACCTGGGGGCTATTTTGTGTGCACCAGCAGTATTCTGGCAGGGAAATCTTTGGGTGGTGGGTGTCCCAGAAGAAGCGGGACATCTGAGGGCCTGTCGGTGGCCCAAGCAGCCTGTGGCGGGGCCATGACGACGGCCACGGCCGTGGCCCTGGGCCCCTGGCCCTGGAGGGACCCATCTCCTGGCCGGCAGCTCCAGGATTTAAAAATTAAAGTTTGCCATCTAGCGGTAGGCCCCGGGCATTTTGGGCTCAACCACCCAAACCCCCCCAAGTCTTTTAGGTGATCCGGGTATGATTTCTAAAGCGCATATTCGTGTTTTCGTTAGCGCTGGCTGACCCTTCCTGCCGTTACGCCGCAAACGTGAGGAAAGAACGGAAGGCCTTTAATGTCCTGCTGTGGCTGAGGCAGCAGCCACAGCTCCCTTGGTTGTCACACAGTGCAACGGAGATGGTTCTGCATAGTGTTAAATCCTGGACAATTTGAAAAAAAAGGAAAAAAAAAACAAAAAACAACTCCACAAGAAAAACCTTCAAAAATTTCACTGTGGTAAATAAATGAGGCAATGAAATGCAGTCATTTCCCTCCACTTTCTTCTCTTGCCTGGGACAGTGGTAATTCTCAGGGGGTTGTCTCCTTTTTCTTTTACATATTTATTTCCCTTTCAAACTGAGCCGTATCTGTGAGTGAAACTGCAGCAAGTTTGTGTGGAACTCCCTTGGTTTAGACCAAAGCTGCCCAGTGCCAGCACCTCTGCAGAAGCACGTGTCCTCCTCGAAAGAGTCCCTGGAGCATCCCCTGAGCAGTGTGTGTTGTCTATATGGACTCGTATGTGCCTATAGGATCCATATGAAGACCTCCCCTGGTGTATTTCCATGAGAAGGAAAGGGAAGAAGAGGTCGAGGATCCTTCATGGAGGACATTAGCATTATTTGCATGGCTGTGGCTGGGGAAAGGGCCTGGAGAGGTGAGGAAGGGAAGGTCTGGAAGGTGATCTACTTGGGTGCCCGGATTGTCATTAAGGAGCTGTAGGCATCCAGCCTGATGCCAGTACAGTCTCTCCTCTTCCCCACACACCACTTCTATTACAGAACTCCAGGTGGGATTTGCAATTTTTGCAGCATAATCACATTGTTGAGTCATATTTAATTTATGAACCACTACACACACACAAGATCATTTTCTCATATTGACGCTGAGCTGATTACTTCCCATTTTGTATTTATGCATTTGATATCTCTCTCTGCAGTGTAGCGCTTCATATTTGTCATTAGTGAACTTCATCTCGTTGATCTGAGACCATCTCTTCAATTTATCATTTTGCATTCTGATCCTGCCTGCCAGACTGAGCAAATTTTATAAGTGTACTCTATATTTATCCTCCAAATCACTAATAAAAATATTGACTAAAATCAGTTCTGAAGATCTCTGCACATCTGCTCGGAACACTCTCTTGAAATCTGCTTCCAGTTTGACATTGAGTCATTTGCAATAATACTTTGAGAATTTTTTCATCTATTTGTATACAAACTGATAATCATAATTTTGCATAAACTGCATTTTGCTAGCTTATATGTAAGAATTCAGGTTACTAGTGCCAAACGTCTTCTTAAATACATTGTTTACTGCTTCTTCCCATCATCAGTATTTACAATACAGATATTTATGTCCTGCTGCAAAACTGTGTCAACGCAGCTATGTCAGAAAGGAGTAATTTTTACCCCCTCCTTCACATGTATTAATTCATTAAATGAGAATTAAGTTTCCCTCTTTAATGGAGGAACTGATGAGGAATAAGCCACTTGATTTATGTTGAGAATCCAGGGGAAAAAAAATAGTTCTGTACCTTTTCATTTGTCTTTGCGCGCTGTATCAGCACAACAAAAATATTTGCTGATGATGTAGATGCTCCTTAATATAGCACATAGGACAGAAATGATGCAAGGGTCTATTAATCCAAAGATAGAATTCCTGGTAAAACATGAAAAAAAAAGAAAAGGACTTAATAACCATAATTGTGTCAGTTTTACTGCTGGCGAACAATTAGATCAGAAGACAAGTATTTCAAAACATCCAGAGCATAAATGCTTCCTGCTATTTAGGTGATCTTTTTCTGATTCAGAAGTTGCAGTTCATCTTACATTTTTAAATGTAAGAACCTCTTTAGGGCCTACATAGTGGGAGCCTCCAGATTTTGTAGTTTGCAGAGGAAAAGTATTTATCTTGTAACATAACAAAAAAAAATAATCACATGCTTATAAAAGGGCTCGGTTTTTCCCTGCATGAGACCTCTCACATGCAACGTCCCAGTTTCTGGCACGGGCTGGGGGATTTTAGGGACACTGCTGGCTGGGAATGTAGCATCCACATGCCAGCCCTCTCAGACAGGTGCTTGGGAAGAGGCCAGGAAAAAAACTTGTCCATAGCCCCGCGTGAAGGGAACGCAGGGAATCTGGGAAACGGCTCAAGGGCCAGCAAAGCCTGGCTTGGGCCACCAGCAATAAGGAGGCAGGATGGGTCTGGGTCTGGCCCTGACATCCAACAGCCTTGCTGGTTTTTGGGAGGGTGGATGAAGCCATTCCACTAAGAGCAGGAGCAAACATCATTTTGTAGGTGTCTGCCATACAATAGCAGTGGCCCCAGTGCAATGCCCCCCGAAAGGCGTAACTGCAGAGAGAGATGAATCACACCACGACCGAGTCAGCTCTCACATACAGCCAGTGTAGGTGTTATTATGACTGTAACGGGCTTCAGAAGAATTAATGGCACAAAAGCTGGGCTGGCAGCCCTTCCCGTTAGCAGCGATGCTGCTCAGATCACCTTCTCGTGTTACCATCACCCTTCCTTGAAGGAGGTTTGGCTGCAAACTCCTCCCAACCCCGTGCTAATTCCTGAGGATAACAGGGGCATCAATTAGGCACAAGCATGACTCAGAAGGTGAAATATTGCCCTTGGTGGGAAGTCAAGAGAGCGTGATTTTTCCCTGCCTTCACCGGCACGCATTGCCCTACCCACTAGGTGTCCCTGCCAGCCAGGGAAACAGCTCGCTGCAGCCAGGGCTGTAGTTGCTCCGTGCCATTTGGCTTCGGCTGAAAACATCAAAAACAAACAACAACCCAGGAAACATGTCTGAAATAACAACTTCTTCTTCTTCTTCTTTTTTTCTTTTTTAAACTTCCTTTTTGAAGCAGCTCCAAATCC